ATTTTCTTTAATTTGAAATACAAAAGATGTAGTTTACCACAATATTTTAAAATAACAAAAGAAACAAATCTAGTACTGACACCATTAAACCTACTTTCATCTAAATCACCTATATTTATTACTACAACAGAAAGGTTTTCTATACAAATGAATATTAAAAAAATATTATATCAATGATCAATTGTTAGATAATATTTATATTTTTGAATCCTATTATGGCTGAACCAGAATATTCTGTTTTTGTTTTAAAAATTGTTTGATAGCATATTTTAACTGCTACTGATAGATTTAACTCAATTTCTGTTGTAGTTGTTTCATAAGTGCATTGAAAACCCAGCTTTAGTAAATTTTTGTTACTAATTAAAACAGTAATAATGAAGTTTTTACTATTAAGTTCATATGCAATACGTATGTATAAATGATAAGGTATTAAAAACTCCTTTATTTCAGTTTCTATTTTAATTTTAGTTGTTGTTCACCAAGTTTTAGCCCAAATTCTATAATACAGTTGTAGATTTATAGTGCCTAAATACAAAATTTTTGCTGCAAACTGTCGTTTTCAGGGCATTATTACTAATATATATATTTATTTTATTTTTTTTCAATTAAAATCAAATATAAAACTAGAAGTACTAGGATAAGATATAAATGAATTTTATTTGAAATAGTTATTCAAAAATTCAAAGGTAAATTCGATTATCTTTTATACAATGTTTTGTATTACAATTTTTGTTTTCATATTCAAATTTTTGCATCGAAATCTGAAGATTTTCTTTTTTCTTATTTTCTATTCAAACTAAAATGATTCCAAAGAACTGAGGAATAATAACCACAAATAATCTCTATCGTATTATACTAACAATCAATCTAAATATAGAATTAACAGATATTGTATATGCAACTGATTGGAGCATGGCGTGATAAACAACTATATAAGTAGTGTTATTTAAATTTTAGTAACAATCCTAATTATAACAAAGTATGGAATCAATGGATTTGTATATACAACTTAATTGGGACATAGAATAATAACTATTAATCTAGCGATTAAAATAAATATAGAATTAACAAAGTTGTATTCACAACTTCATTAAGGTATAAAGCGACAGTGACTGCATAAATATAATAATTTGTTTACTCCAATAGTTAACCTAAATTTGGAATTTGACGGATTTGTATATATGATTAGAATATAGCATGGCAAAGTAGAATAATTTCTAAGTATAGAATTTAAGATTTGTATACATAACTTAATTAGAACATATGGTAAACGTTTGTATAATTATTGTTTATTTCTGGAATTAACTAATTTGTATACAATTTAATTATCATTAGAACATGGTGTGATAAGCAACTGCATAATTTACCAGCAATCAATTTCCAAATAAAGAATTCTATATAAGACTACTAAATACAGATAATTATTAAAATATTAGAGTACTTGGAAAGAAAAAAAAAATAAATCTATAAATTTTAAATTAAAGGTGAGGTAATATTATGAGATATATATTATATTATAATATTATAATTTTATATTCTTATCAATTTTATTTGTAAAAAAA